CCCTGGTTGTTTCGTCTGGCGAGTCGCTGAGACTTCAGCTTTATTCAAGGGCAAAACGATCGTAGCCGTAAACGATCTTTCACGCATACGATTCACGCAAAGTAAATGCACGATGTAGTCCTCCGAAGAGGGCCTAATTACTTTGCGAAAGTGCTGAAGACACCTTACATCAGTCCTCGGCCAGTTTTAGAAACATAGCATAGTGGAACTTTCTATAATTATGTAAACTAAGATTATGATCGGCACAGTAGTCACAAGGGAGATGGACTCGTTTGAAAATATCAGAGAATAAGGCACAATGGACACATTTCGCACACAAAAATAATAAGATAGGTCTTCGACGGAGATACTCGAACGCCATATGCAAAATTCTTTTACTTTACCAATATGTATATATTGACCAATCAACGTTCCCCACAGCATTACAGAGTGTTTAAGGTATTTGCGTGTCCAGTTGCTGCGGTGGTGTTTTGTGCGATGCCGTCAGGAACGCGGTTGGTCTGGGGCTTATGCCTACTTTACGTCACTTGTAAGTAGTTTTAAAAGATTATTCTTCAGTTGCTTTTGTTCATGTGCTGTGCGATATTTCAGAACCCGACTTATCAGAGGCCAAGTCATCCTCGGGGACAAGAGCCAATGACTCAGACGAGTATGTCCGTTCATTTTGTAACTTAATTGGCCTAGTGTCGAATATGAAGCACTGAGACAATCCGTGAAAAATGCTGAAAAACAAGTGTTTGAGACGAACGTAGATAAGATGATGAAGTTGATAATCAACTCACTTTACAAAAACAAGGATGTAAGATTTTGCTTGCTCTTTCTAATCTGATTATTTAGATTTTCCTGCGTGAGCAAATATCCAATGCAGTAGACGCCTTGGAAAAAATACGTTTTGTCTCTGTTACCGACTCGAGTGTCCTTGAGTCACTTCCTGATCTTTATATTCGCATTAAAGTCAATGAAAAGGAAAAAACAATCACTATTAGAGATACAGGAATAGGCATGACGAAAGAAGAGTTGCAAAAGAATTTGGGCACGATAGCAAAGTCTGGGACCGCCGATTTCATGAAACATCTGGAGAACGTTGGCAATCAGTCTTCTCTGACTGACTTAATCGGTCAATTTGGCGTCGGCTTCTATTCCGCTTTCATAGGTAAGGACTGCCCCTTCATCGTTTACCGATTTTTTCAGTCGCTGATCGTGTCACCGTTGTATCAAAGAGTTCTGGAGACAAGCAGCATATATGGGAGTCGGATTCTACCTCATTCCAAATCGCCGAAGATCCACGAGGCGACACTTTGGTCCGCGGCACCGAAATAATTCTACATGTGAAGGAGGAAGCCCGCGAGTTTCTGCAGATCTCAAACTTGAAACAAATTGCTAATAAATACAGTCAATTCGTCACTTTTCCCATCTATCTATGGGACAGTCGGACCGAACAGGTGACCGAAGAGCCCGAAGGAGAGAAGCCGACCGATACATCTGACGACGTAACGGTACGCTGACGGTTAATTTTTCCAACTTGTGCTAGGTTGAAGAGGACACGAAGGAGAAGGAAAAGGATAAGAAGGTGGAAAAAACTGTTTGGGATTGGGTCCAGATTAATAAACAAAAACCTCTATGGACTCGAAAACCATCCGAAGTGGCAGAAGAGGAGTATATTGCATTATTCAAGGCCTTCACAAGTGACTATCAAGAACTTCTAGCGAAAGTTCATTTCGAGGCGGAAGGCGAAGTGTCGTTCAAATCGATCCTGTTTATTCCCAAAAAGGCCCGATACGATCTATATAACAGCCACAAGCCTATTACCGACAATATTAAGGTAGCCCGTTTTTTAAACTAATTATTCGTGTTTTAGCTGTATGTGCGTCGTGTCTTCATAACAAATAATGTGGAAGAAATGCTCCCACGCTACTTGGCCTTTGTTTACGGAGTCGTCGATAGCGATAACCTGCCCTTGAACGTTTCGCGTGAAACCCTACAACAAAGCAAATTATTAAAGCTGATCAAAAAAAAGCTTGTTCGTAAAGTAATAGAATTGATCTCCAAACTACCCAAAAAAGATTACGAGGAGTTTTGGAAGCAGTACTCGGTATCAATCAAATTGGGCGTCTTGGAGGACCAGCCAAATCGGTCCAAACTTACGGACCTTCTGAGGTTCCACACATCGCATTCGGAAAAGGACCTCTCATCGTTTGACGATTACATAAGTCGTATGAAAGATAAGCAGGAAGCCATCTTCTATCTTGGTGGTTCGAACATAGAAGAAGCCAAACAGTCACCGTTTGTTGAAAAAGCTCTTCGCAAGGGCTTTGAGGTGATTTACATGACAGAACCTATGGATGAATTCGTTATGCAAGCACTGACTGAAGTCAAATCGAAAAAGCTTCAAAATTTAGCGAAGGAAGGTGTAATACTTGATGACACTGAAAATTCCAAACAGAAGTTTGCGGAGCAGACGGCGACTTTCGCTCCACTGACGAAGTGGCTGAAGGATACGGCACTAGAAGGCTTAATAAAAGAGGCCACAGTGTCTCAGCGTCTCCATGACAGCCCTTGTGCCTTGGTGGCTGACCAGTATTCGTGGTCAGGAAACTTCGAAAGAATTATGACCAATCAGGCATTCCA